ACACTTATCAGGCAGTTTCCAGATCACCCTGCCTCGCCATGTGGTACTTACAAGCCTGGGAGGACAGCTTGGAGTAGAGAATTTGGCCACCACCAGATCCCTGTCAATAGTGAGCAGCGTCCAGCTTCCAAGAGGAGACCCTGAGTTAGTAAAGGAACAAAATTTCATTACTGCTGCCTTCTGTGAGTTCCCCACTGAAGAGCAGCAGGTTGCAGTATGGCCTCTTCAGTTGCTGAATGAAGAGCACTAATAATCGGGTCCAGGACAATGTGTACATACCCTTGGTGAGAGAACACACACTGCCTGACAGCGTATCCACCACAATCAGCTCCTAAAGGAAAGCATTGGAGAGGTTTATCTTAGGCTGTATCCAGACAGCAGCTTCCCACACAATTACTGGTACAATCTAGCGTGCAAAGCAAATAAATAAAGGCACAAGGACTTCTTGTCGTTTTGTACAAGCCGAATGGTCTGATGCTGCTAATCCTCTGCCCTACCTGAAACTGCAGGTGTTCATCTCCCTGTGGCTCACAGGTGTTAAGAAGTACTGACTCAATAGGCCTGATACTGAAGAGTTTCTCCATTTGGAGGTGCCATTAGAGACCAGCCAGGCACAGATCTCTGTCTGGCTTGGCCAAAACTATGCCGAGCTTTATCCTAAAGCGTAAGATACTCTATAGTTCATTCTTACCTGCCTACTGCGCTGAGCTGTGTCCAGCACAACCCTCTGGCTGTCTGCTGCCCAGCAACACTCAGACAATGCTGTGTTGTAGATCCCCATGAATTCACCTGCAAGGGATAGTACATGTTCATTCAGACAGTGACAGCCCTCGTGCAGTAAGTCACAGGCTCTGTGCTGAGAACCGGACCACAGAATGCACCAATTCCAACAGCTCCATTCTATTCACATACAGGTGGCCATGATATTTTGGGTTTTCTGCCTCAGGCACCAAGGAAGAGTTCCCTGTGATGGCACTGCCTTTTAACAGCACCCCAAATGTCTTCAGCCTGAGGCATGGCACTTCATATTAATGGTAAGATATCTTGGATGCCAGGTGCCCTTGGATATGTCAACGCCTACCTGAAGGAGTTCCAGAAGACACTGTGTGGAAAACATCTTCAAAAGCTACAGAACCCAAATGGGATGGCCAACTCCAAGCCTCAACCGAACTAACACCCTATTATTGCTTTCAAGGGATGCTTCTTTACAAACAGGGAACCACCTTGATTTAGAAGGAAGCACAGGAAACCTATGAGGGCATGCAAATTGACCGCCATCATATTCCTTCAATGCTCAGTCCTTCCTCTACTTCCCCAGAACCTCCTCTTTTCTCAGATCACCAGAGAATTCCATATTCCACATCACTTGCAAAATATTTCTGTAGCTATGACAGTAAAAGTAGGTCATCTTGCTTATA